ACTTATTGTAAACCCAACCCAGTGGAGGAACTGAGAAAAAGAGAGGATGCAGAAAAGTCCTCTCTCCCATTCCCCTCTCCTCCCCCTTTCTCCGCTGTCCCTCCCGACCACAGGATTCATATTCATCCCTCAATAACGTTTAATTAGTAATGCCAAATTCATTAACCTGTACTGCTGTTACGCTGGCCTCAGCCATAAATTAGCTTAATGTGAGCAGACGTATTGCAGCTGTAATAAGGGACATAAAACTCAAAGAGAAACACATACTGTTCCTCCATAGTCATGGATCATTATAACTCAACAGGGTTTTAGAGCAGGAGCGTTCCCTTTCAGAGTAGCAGTTCTTTAGCAGCTCTTAACTATAAGCCCATCAAACACGTTTCTTGTGATTCCTTAGAAACTTGTTTTAATGCTGGTTGAAATAAAAACAATGTCATGGAAATGAATTACTCATGACAACCATTACTTGTATCACCACTTCTCTCATGCTTTCACTCAAATACTGAGATTATAATATCATTGAATGTTTAATGGAAATGACAAATACAAAAGAAGCTGAAAAAATGCTCTTATGCAGCTGTCAGTTGTGTCAGTAAAAGAGATGCAGGAAAGAATTCAAACTGCTTCTGACAGCTCTATCTAATTGGTCCAACTCTGGCATCTTGTTTGTGTTTATTCAATTATTATAATTATTATATAATATATATATATGTATATATATGTATTATATATAAACGCACATAATCTCCACGAAACAAACTTCTATTGTAAAAGCGTCGGACGACTTTCACTGTCCTAGGATTACACGTTGACCTTTCTGCCCCTCTATCCCCCAGTGAGCTCGCCTAACAACTCGCACCAAAGAGCCTATTAGGCCTGGATCCTACTTTGTTGTTAAAAAGGGTCTTGTCCTTTCAGAACACTCACTTCCTTGCTTTCTGTTTTTTCAAGCATAGGTGGTGGAGGAACACAAGTTCATTGTTCCCGTGCAGATGGAAGTTGGAGTTACCAGGGTAACAGCTCTAATCCTTTTTTTTTTTTACCACTTTTTTCATATTAACAGCCTATCAAGTGCTACCTTTTAAGTCACAGGCAGGAGTGCTCACTCACTTTTAATTAGCTACGATTCTGTTTGCCAGGAGACAGCATGATGAGCTAATCGAAATTTACGAAATAATGACGTACTGCAAGCAGCTACTTCTTTCTGCTGAGGCCTGCTCCAAGAATAACAATAATGACGATATTATCTGGGATTGCACTTTAAAACACTGCCGTGCCAACAAAACAGAGGACATGATTGTTCTGGTGTTTTTCATACAATCAACAACCCATTGTTGATGACTTGAGAACTAAGGGAGCAAAGAATGGGTGCCATAATGATTGGTCTGTGCTGCCATGAAGATCCTGTACAAAGTGTCCACAGAGGAAAGACCTCGATAGACTACTGATTTGCTTGTTAGGGCTGTGGATGAAGACAACTGTCTGGCTTTGAAAAAAAAAAAAATGTCCTTTTTTGCTTTTTGTCTGTCTTGCCGCTCAAATAACCCCCAAGCCGTATTAGAGAAGAACCATTCATATGGTGAAAGGCTGGGAGTCACACAGACTCATGTAAAGGGGCCACATAGTTGCTGGAGAGAATGGCCATTTATATAACCTCCCTGCATCTCAGACAAAAATATAACTGATTTCTAGCAGACGATAATAAAAGGTGTGCTTGTTATCTATAAGGTGACAAGGTGTTCCAGAAATAATAATGTATTTATATTTGACCAGTGCTTCTATGTGTGGATAGAAAAAGTCAGTTTAGTTCACTACTCATGTATGTCAACTGAGCTTTATCTAACATGCCAAGATGACTCAATTAGATAATTGCATATCTATGCTCCAAAACTAACTGCATTACAAATGCAGCTCAGCCATTTGGAAATTAAAATATCCCTGAGAGTAGATTATGATAAATAGAGGTTGAAAATAAAATATTTTGTCAAAAAGTTCCACATCTAAACTTACTGGGTGAGAGCTCAGCGGGGTTGTACAAACACGGTGCTGCACCTATTAGCTGTGCTCCATTGTGAAGGAGTGAGAGAGACAGAGCAGGAGGGCAGGAGGAATGCTAAGTGGGCCCCTTAGCCTAGTCAACCTTCAGTGGGTTTCATTTATCTTCATCTTGTTAGACTAAATTAATTAACAATCTCAATGTTACACACTTTCTCCTTTCATTACATCAAATAATGGCAGAAATGGAGGGGGAGGTCCTGCCCACTGGGAGTAGACAGAGACTGAAGACATCTCTCTCTCTCTCTCACACACTCTCTCTCTCTCTCCCCTTCTCTCTTTCTCTCTTCCTTTACTTATCTCTCTCCCTCTCTGTGTACACATCTCTGTATTCTGTCTCTCTTCCTTCCCCTTTCTCTCGCACTCTCACTCTCACTCTCATTTTCTCAGTCTCTTTGACTACACACACAAAAACCTGTTAAACGTCTTCCATAAACATATGAAAAATTGATCTAAACTGAAAACACATCTTCTCTTCAACAAAGAGGCTTACAATAACACAAGCATGAATAGTTGTCTATTAAAGACGCTGTGCACATTGTATCCTGTAGTTCAGAGAACTTTTGCATTAGTTTTAGAAACACTGGGAATTTTAAACAGACTGGCATTATTATTAGGAGACAGTACAAAGGCTTTGACTTGTACGTAAAATATGAAGTTTAGACTTTTTCCCCATCACATCTGAAGAGTTTGATGTATTTTTCACGATGGCCATGTCTCAGGTGCTATTAGGAAGCACTTTTTACAGCTATTAAAGCTCACAGTATGTATGACTCAAAACCAAACTCATGACTCATTACAATAATGAAAAACCCATCCGGTGTGCTACTGAGATACGACGTATAGTATAAAAAAGTCAATAACATCTGCACACTGGAGGAGAAATGTAAGAGCATGTTCAGAAAGCCCCCTTTGACCTAATTCAGTTGCTTGAGAAAAGATACTGGGATTCTTCACTGGAGGAATGTCTAACTGCCACATCCATCCAACCTCTGTTTCTATCCTTTTCTCCCCTTTCACCCCTACCCCCACTCCACAGCCCACTCCAGGACAAGTCTTATCCAAGCAAAAGGGCTAACCCTGAAGCAAAGCCTGCCTTTAATCTTGGCCTGATTGTTGAGGCCTCCAATCTCCAGCCAGTGTGCGTGATATCTTTCTACTGGCACTTCTCCTTTAATTAAAACAGACATTGACAGAAGGATGTGGATCAGCAGCGCAATAATGTGTTTACTTTGAATAATCACAGTGTTTTCTCACAGCTCCGAGAACAAAGGGAAATTGCTGAGAAACAGCCAAGGTCAGGGGTCATGTTTCTTTTTTCTCTCTCTTCTTTTTTACATGTGGGATTGGACGTAAAAAATATCCATGGTGAATCTGAGCTATGCTTCTGCCAGCCGCCTTAACTATCCCACCCCACTTCAACATACAGGATACAGCACATCTTTATTACAGTTAGTTATCCACCAAACTGGTTTCGACAGGTGGTGAGAGTTAAACACTGTCATCCACTTTGTAGCCTTACTCCAAAGAAAGCGGAAATGAGTGTAGGCAGTGCACTCTCAAAAATGTAACATGCTATATGCCTGAATAACTCCTGTCAAACCACTGCAGAGATACCACACCAAATAAATTGGTGCCATGCCATGAAAGATAAAGCAGATACTGTACATTTTTGCATTATATGTTTTACCTGTTAGCTGCAGAAGACAGTAAGTAAAAGAATTATATATAATTATATATAATTCATATGTAAGTAATAAATGCTTTTGTCAATTTATTCTAATTGAAATGAAAAGTTTCAGTTAACAGCCAGATATGCCTTTGTGAAAAAGTCCTTGTGCATATAATTTACACAATATAATTCTACAGGATTAACTTTGGTCGAAATTTCAATTCTATCAGAAGTCAACTCTCTTTTTTCTTGAACTTTTATAATGTGGACCTCAATCATCTTTTTAGTACCATTTTAAATGATTGGATTCTAAAGATAAATAAAATAAATTTAAATGCATGAGAGATTTTTCTATTGAGTTCCTCCATTACACTTTGACTTGTGAGAGTAATGGTATCAAATTGTCCTTTCTTTTTAAAATGCCCCCAACAGTTCTGAGAGAAAAAAAAATGCTGTTAATTTAATCAAATAAGTGACCTTTTGAAAAAGAAATCAAAGAGGATTCATTAGCTTTAGTAAAGTTTGGCTGACAGCAGCTTTGAAAGGCAGATGCTGCTGCTGTGGCTTCTAATGAGCCAACCCTAATTAGGGAGCAACACTGGAGCCTAGAGAAGGTGGTTGACTAGGAAAGGAGCCAATGGTAAATACGCTCTCTTATTTACTTCCTCTGTGTGTAATGACAGCACAAATTTTTAATTAGAATCACAGGAAGGGCAAAGACAAAAAATGTAAATCTTTATGTTAGGCTGAATACAAACACAGAACACAACAGGAAACAACAGCACATCACAGGACCGATATGCCAGCGACTGTCTTGCCCCTGCATCCCTGATTAGGGAGGTTAGTAAGGGAGGGCAGATGGGGAGAGTGGTCTGAGAAAAGCATGCAGTGCAAAGACACAGAAAGCCTGATCTGCAGATCCTTAAAGCTGTGAAAGGGAGAAGAAGGAAACAAAGGGGAACAGCTCATCTACATCTGTGTCTGTGTCCCTCAAGTTGTTGACGTGTGCTTTCAGTCTGACTGGAGGATATCAGGGTGAGCATGCCAGCCAGTCACATACTACATGAACACAACCGTAACACACAGCTTGGGTAAATATGTTAGAATCCATGTTTGACATTGTTCAAATATACAGACGCACACACAAACGTGCACGCACACACAGGACAAAGTCTAAAGCTAACAATGTGTCAGAAAGTTTAACCCCTGTTAGCCCGCTACCACCCCTGCCCAACCTATGATCCTAAATGGCAACAACAGAAATGTAACTAACCTCAGTAAAAAGCTGCTACGTAGAAAGCCCTCCATGTCAGCGTGTGGGGTTCTGGCAGGAAAAATCACAGAGAACCATTTTCACTATGAAACGAGTGATAATCAAGAAGAAGAACAAGGAGAGAAGGGAGAAAGGAGGGAAAGGAGAAAGAAGGAGGAAAAGAAAAAGAAAAACACAGAGCATACATCGTCCTCCTATAATAAGGCATGTCTTTAATTAAAGCAGAAATATGGCTACGAACCCATCCTCTTTTTTTATGAACTGACATCATTAATTATACCTCTCTCCATCGAGGGAGTGGATTTGCATACAACATCGGTTTGCACTGAAAGCCTGATGATATGTTTGCATCAAATAAACTCTGCCTACTGATCTCTATACAGTCTTTTTCCACGGCTGTGTGCAGATATATACATGTACATCCAGCACTGTAACCACAGATCCCAGAGCAGCCCCAGTCGGTTCAGAGTAGCCAACGGTGGTCCAGCTGCAGCCCATGTGTGGCGAGGGTGCTGTGGCTTCTGGGAGCCCAGCCGCAGGGGACCCAAGCTGGGACTCACAGTGCCAATGAGGCAAAAGGATGTGGTCATGATGTCACCACTTGCAGGGGTCGTTCAGAAGCCTTACCCACAAAATAGTGGAGACACATGGCTAAAAATTACTTACAACAGGTTTCCATTAACCGATGTTATTGGTCTGTATACTATACACTTTTATTGTGTTAAGACTGGTTGGAAATTGATTAGTACTTCCATGTGCTTTGTTTTAAGTGGTAAAAACAAGCAGCGACTCTAGAGAACAGACTTTTGTCAGTGGTTGAAATTTAAATATCTCAGATCTCACAACTAGCCTTATAAAGATATTCAGCCAGTGTAATATATTTTCAGCATTCTTACAAGTAATTTCACTTCAGCATTTCATCTCTCCACCGTCCTTTTATTCAATTTCATAACTTTTAAATTCAACAGCTATAAAGTCCATGGATCAAAATTCCTGCTGTGAAAATCACTACTTTTTAACACCAATGGAAAGAAAAATACTCTTTTCTGAACTTCTTCTGTTGTAACACTGCTTCATGCACAGCATCGTGAATAACACAAAACACAACAGCAAATGACATCTCAGCCCTTAAACACCTTAAGTTTTAGTGACATGGGTGTAATTTGGCATTTTCTCCCCTTGCTCTCTTGGCTTATGAGACAAAGCCTCTGAGAGAATGGAAAGAATGAGCTGGGCCCAAGGACACTGTGCCTTTCAGTCTGGCCAGCACTTAGCGAGGCAGTGAATCCACAAGGCCCAGAGGGCTCAGCCGAGACTTTTCTCACAATAAGGTGTCTGGGGAGGCGGGAGTGGCATAGCCAGGGGCGCTGCAGCTCTGCTCTTTTCTCCACTCAGCTGGGCCCAGCGCACATAATACCATCCCCACGCCACAGCACACCAAGCCAGTGACAACGTGAGAAAACAACCGTCAAACAGTGCAGAGCAGATCAAGCGTGTCTCCTCACTTCTCTGAGTGCAAAAAGCACACATACTCTACGTCAGGCGCACACAAACTAAAACAATCCACAACACAAATGTAAGTTCACTCTGAACTTATAGTACATGCAACCACATTCTAGTACATATTTACATACTGCAAACCTCTGATCAGGAATTAAGGGAATAAAAACAGTCTCGAGTTTGATGCAGAAGCAAATGTATATATAACCAGTCACAGGATGAGCAGAGCACTCTTCATTATCATGTGAATGTGTGTTTATTTTACTGGCACCTGAACGCTTCAGCGGGCTAAAACAGTTAAGTAGCAGGAGAGAAAATGAACTAGATTAGGCCATGCTATGTTTCTATCTTTATCTTTGGTCGTATTCCATAACCCTTGGTCTTTCACTCTCTGTGTGCTTGTGTTTCCTCAGCTGTGCCTGCTGTCTACAGTCCCATTGTGGTCAGAAACAACTGAACTTACCCTATGGAAGCAGCGGTGCAGTTTGGAGAGCAAATGACCAAACTCGGGGAAAAAGTGACTGAGGCACATTGTATTTGCTCTTCTACGAACACAAAAAACAAAAATGTCTTTAAATTAAGGTTAGGCCACAATTCAAGGGCAGGCTTTTCGGTGAAGGGGGGGGGGGGGGGGGGGGGGGCATCACTAAGTTGGCCTGGACCAGTCTGAGCAGCACGGCAGCCCTTTCGAAGAATGAGCCTCTGCCAAAAGCTGCCTCTGCCTAACCAAGTCTCCCACCATCTGCAACAAATGTGCTCTATTAAAGCAGTACCATATGGACAACAAGCTAGCTATTAACACGGCTTCAGCACATCCCCTTAACCTAGCCCAGATTTCAAACTTCCAGTCAAATTGACTGCTGATTTAATGCACCGCCAGCAGCCATGTGGGTCTTGGCACGAGACGGCACTCTCAGCCTTCAGTCATTAACAGGCTCACGTAGTGCGCAGCACACAGTGAGACATAGAAGTTAGCTACACAGATCCTACCAGTAACTACATCCCAGGTTACTTGGTGTATCTCTTAAACAAACCCATATGAGAAAAAGTAGCAATATCCAAAGAGGAGGATACAGAGAGCAACAGTCTGTGCTGATCCAACTCCAACTTTCTTAAGACAAATAAACCCAGGCTCAAAACAGTCTATTGTACTGAGTGGAAACAAGCTTATGAAGTACATCTACCCACAGAGCTGCTGCAGTGGCAGCCTAACTGGTGGCTTATGTCTCAGTTCTTCCACAGTGATGGAGAGTGCATTTGCTCCCTCTGCATGGATCCAAAATGGCAGTGATTAACCCTGCAGGGTGTGAGGGGGGGACACTTTAATCCCTGTGGGCCGGGCGGCCATGTTGACGCCTCTCCCCTCTCTGAGTCATGTGGGGACCCACCCACTGCTCACAAAGCTATGCTCTCTTCTCCTCGTCCATGACGCCACGGCTATGAGCCCTCTGCTCTACAACCCAGAGACAACACACACACACACACACACACACACCAAATCAATTACAGTTCTGCGGTTTTAACCCGACTCCAAAGTTCAGTAAATTTTGTTTGTTTATTTTTTCTCCTCCTGTCTCAGCTGCTTAGATACTGTACATAATTAGTGTGGAAATTCATTTCTTCTCTGTGTATGTATAATGTATACAGTGCAGTGGACTTACAGAGACTTAGTCTTGGCAAAATTCAGAATACAGTTTATTTTTATTTTGCATTTTGATTTCAGCCTTTGTAATTATTAACCAATTTTGTTTTCCATGATAACAATATTTCACCATCACACCAGGTCAGTGCCAGTTTTTATAACAAACATTTTATTACAAAATTTACACTACTAAAATATCTTGCCTTATTTTCAAGCTCAGTTTGTAATTGTCAAGATCATTATTACTATTATTATTATTATTATTACTATTAATCACATTGGATCTTTAGAAGCTTGATTTTTATTTTCTAAATGACATTGTATGTAAGAGGCAGTTATAAGTTTTTAACTCTTGTACATGAAACTAAAGATCATTGTTCCACAACATCTCCGCCAGTAGTGTCCCTATGCAAATTGAAGTGATAAGCTAAAGACTGGCTGATGACAGTCTAATTAAATAAGCCTTTCAAAGCTCTCTGTGGAGCAGTGGGATGTGTGAAAAGGTACTGTTGGTTCGAGAAGAGGGAGATCCAGGGAGGAAAAAAAAGCTGTCCAAGCACTCCCAACATCCCAACAGACAGCTTTACGCCAACTCAACACCCAGTCACATGAAATATGGCGATACCTGGTCCAGACATATATGCATATACACCTACAGTGTAGCGCACCCCCACACACACACCTTATGTTACCTTTACTAATGGCAGTGGTGTCCCATTGACCCCCCCATCCACACACACACACACACACACATACACACATACATACACATATCTCAGTCAGAGCTGCCAGATGAGTAGTGAATTAATTTGTGTGAGCCACTCCAGCATTAGGAAGGTGTGTTGAAAGGTGTCTGCTCATGTTTCAAATTAAACGCGCTGCTGGTCAGCATTAGCACCTCGCCACCCGTCGGCAACTGACACTTAGGGGGTGGGGGGATGGGGAGGAAGGAGGGAGCCCATCCGCCGTTCACACTGGAATAATTAGAACATGTCAGGAAGAATTAATTTCCTCATTTTTCAAAAGGATACACAGAAATTACCATGTTATTATATGACAGGGTCCCTGGGAGGATTGGATTAAATTTGATTTCTTGCGCAGCCCACACAACAAATTAAAGTCATAAATAAGATGGAAAGAAGCGGGGCACAGAGCATATGTTTATGGCAATGAGTGAAGCCAAGGGACCAGAAACAACCATCTTCATTTCATTTTATTTAAATCAGGCCGACACCGTGTGTCTGAATGACAGCAGTTGCTAATGGGCCGAGATTAGAGGCTCCTTGATATTAACACAGAGATCCAACAACTCCAACTAAAAAGCAAAGGAGCGTACAGTGTGTATGCTACTAGATGAGCCTATTCTGCACAGAGTGACCGGCTACCGCTTCATCTAGGTCTTATCACAACAAAACGTTCTGAACTTATTTATTCTACTTTGTTATCTGATTTCCGACTTTACATTCAGCTTTTATTTTAACTAACACAACACAGAGGTAGTACAGAGTGTAATGCTCATCAGTCTGTTTAAGAGTTGTAGGTAACAACATTTACCCCTGTCCGAGTCAGTCAAACCCTCCATTAGTTTTGGAGTCAACAGAAAATTAATGTCCGATTAATGGCTGTCATTTGTCCATCAGCACGACAATGAGTGTCATGCTGATAGACAAATGACACAAATGCCAAGTTTAGAAGCAATGGCATTTGCAAATTGACATTTGTATTAAAAACAGATTCCTTAATGTTCTATGAAGAGAGAATAAAAGGCCAAAAAAGGAGAAAAACAAATTAAATCTTCCATTTAGGATGAGATAGATCCCAGTTCAAAGAGAATATTGAGCTGCCGCCATCTAGCAACACAATACTGGACACCATCTCTTTTCTTGGGGCGTAGATTAGACTTGTTAGCTTACCATTACAATTTAATACTGGCTTGCCTGGGTTGTCTGAGTTTTTCAACTCTTTCAAAATGGGCTGTCATTAGAGCCGAGCACTCCCCTGGGCACCACAAACTTTAAATAATTTGTGAATCAATTAACTGGCTACTCTCAACGCAACAGGGATTTCACACTCCAGGGTCGTGGTGCATTATCAGTTAAAGACGATTCATGGCGTTTTGGGAGAAAAGTTCATGGTTGAAATCATTAATTCATTTTACCGGACTTTTAGTTATGCATTACTTTCCACAGCTGGTGTAGCAAGAAGATTAATGGCATGTTCTTTGGTCTTGTTTTCTGCTGTATATAGCTACTAGGTGAAACGCTGTCCTGCAGTACTAAGGAAGATACCTTGAGAAGCAGGACAGCAGCCAAATCCATATTAGGTTTTTATTCTTAGGAGGATGAAAAAGTCCATCAAACCTTCAGAAAATAATTTAAAATAATAATGATAATAATGATAATAATTAATAGTAATAAACTCAGCGGTTACGTCCTTTTCATGTGGTTTAATATAGACCATACCTCATCACCAACTGTAAAGAGAGCTCAGACAACACCCAACCTCAACAAATTAGTTAAAGCACAGTTAAAGCATATTTTAGTTTAAGCACTTCAAAATGAGGTCATTCATGAGTAATACAGAGAGCAAGCTATTAATTGAATGCAGACTTTAGGAAGATGGATAAAGTTCAGGAGGGTTTCCCACATTCTTGCCAGGTAATGAAATATGCAACAATTAGTTTTCCAAATTCACACTGGGATCCTCTGAAGTAATTGAGGCTGATGAAATTAAAATATTTGTAAGGCGGTCGAGCGGTCTCTGTTCAGAAACATTTTGACCATAATCACTGCAGGGTCAGCGGACTGAAGAGGCCCATTTGATAAATAATAGATGAGGAATAACCATTCAAAGGTTATTCATTTTCATTTTATGGTGAAGTGCAGTTTATTTAATTTCTAACCAAATGGCTCCTCAGCACTCTCTTCTTCAGTGGTGCCATCGATAGAGAGCTGAGAACCGCCAGACTACGTTGCTGTTGCTTGTTAGATGAATGGCACATAATAACAAAGAGTGTATAGTGTGTGCCTATTCACATGGTCTAACACATCCTCAGGTGTTTTCAAATGACATTGCAAGAGTGTAATTAAACTTGTACTATAAGCACTCCAGACACAAACTAAATTACTTTCTGTCATGTTTTGAGATTAATTAAAGCTGTGGGTCAATGGATCTAGATTTCAGATTGTACGAGGATCCAACTGCATGTCTCAGAGGAGTGATATGGCAATGAATGCTAGCCCACCAGGGCTTCATGTGGTATTTTATTTTGTAACAAATACTGACAGATGCCCGATAACATTACAGTGACTTAAATCCTTATAATCAAAACTTCAGGGGTCAATTTATTGACTACCTGAGGAGGCGCATTTTTAGCTGGACCAGCAGGAGCCAATACACACAGGTGGTGACCAGCAGAAGTACATCAATCATATCTTGTTACGTGGATGCAATTTTTGAACATATTCCTTTTTAATTTTTCACCTAAACCCAATCATCCATGTTGGAGGGCTGACCACACAGCTTCTGCTGATGACTCAGCTGGGATCTTTGCTTTAGCATCTTTTATTCATTTGTCTGTTAGTGAAGGTTGCTAGTTGATGTTATATCATTACAAAACATATCATCCAGTATCTGGTATCTCAAATGACCCGGAGAATTTCAAAAGAGGTGCTGCAGTAGGTTGATAGAGTAAATGATCAGGTATATAAGACCTGCTCACACCAGTTAGCTAGTATTGTTCTTAACATTAATTGGTTGCATTTTTTAGTTCTCGCAGTAATGTGTTATATTTTAGTAAGTTTGATTCATTATATTCTGCTTTTATGTTTACAGAACCGTGTACAGTGTGACCTGAGTGATGACTGACTGTGGTAGTACAAGTTCAAGCCGTTCACAACAACCTCAGCAGCACTAACATGCAGCAGCAGAGTCAGCTCGCTGGTAGACAGGTGCGTGTTCGCCAGAGCAGAAGAAATGGCATGATTAAACAATGGTAAATGGCCATGAACTTTGAATTCAGAGATGTTTCCCTGCTATTATTGGAGAGCTTCTCAACCACATTAATATGACTTCCAGGATATCTCCAACTGACATTTGGAAAAAAAAGAATAATATGAACTAAGTTCCTCACCTTTATTTGCTTAATATCTATGATACATTTTTATTAGAAAACCTGCATGAGCAGCAGCTGAGCAAAGATAGTTAAAGTAATATTATATTGATGCAGAGAGGACTGTAGTACTCTCTATTCTGTTTCTTTTAAAGCAAAATGCCACCTTTCATAGCAACTGTCTTACTGTATTGCCTTGAAAAAATTCACTTAAACCACTTTATACTGACATACGACCACTTATACATACATGCATATAGATAGATAGATGTTCAAAATAAGGTTGGATAGTTTCATATTATTCTTAATGCTTAGCTCTAGCAAATAGCAATCAAGTTTTCACATTTTTGACCAGTGTCACCTGTAAATGAATTTCAAAAGGTTGATTTTCTTTTCCTATAGTGTAGGAGCATGTCAAGACTTACAATTAATAAATACTAGAAAGCCTGATTTGACTTTAAAATTGCAACTTCCACACAAGGAGGTAGCTCATATCACACAGGAGCAACAGAATGTGAAGGAAGGAGACAGGGGGGAAAAAAATCACAGCACAGTACTGAAGGGAAAGCAAAATGCAAGAAAAAGAAGTTGAAGGATCTAATGTTTAAAAGGTTTATCTGTAACTTTGTGCCTATACAACTGTTTAATTGTGCATACATTGTGTGCCTATCCAATTGTCCACCTCATTTGATGCAGGTGTTCATTGTGGGTGAAAGACAGCAGGGGTGTATGAGACATGTGGCAAGACAGAAACAGCTGAAGAGGTAAATTGATACTTACAAAAACTGAAAGACTCAATCCCCAGCTTCCAGCGATCACTGGTCGGCTGATTTTGAATTCATGTAAATAACCTGAAATGTAAGCACAAATAAGAGAGGAAAGGGCTATTTTCAATTTGTCCTTGAATGCAACATCGTATCGTTATTATAAAGATCTACTGTATAAATATTACTTTTAAAATAGAAAAAATACAACATTTAAATATTATCAATGTGTTTAAATAGCTTCCAGTTGAGTGACTTTGGGACATAGTTAAAATCAACAAAGGTCTGAGATAACTGTATTTACCTACATCAGAACAAACAGAGACAGAACAAGAGGAAGAGAATTGGGGCCATAGTGTTGTTGGCTGAGGGTCAGAGTCTCCACAGCTGAGCGAAACAGCTTTGTTAGTGTCTGACCTCCAGTCCTCACAGCTGTCACCAATGGGAATCCGTCCTAGACAATGTTTGAAATCTACTTCTCCGCTACCTCATTAATCTGTCTTCCAGTTGGTGGATTCCACTAATAAACAGCTTTCATATAAAGTGGTTGTTTTATTAAATTTTGCTTTCTCTCTTCAAGCACTGCCTGCTAATGATTTATTTAGGGGCCATGCTCTGCTAGTTTCAGCATGTCTGTTGAAGGGCTGCAACTTAAGAGCTATGTTAGAGAATGCACGAATAACAAGGAAACTCAAGTACAGTATAAGTGCATACAGTTTTAGGAATCATCTGAACCAAATTCCTGCTTAAATGCACCCATAGTTCAGCGGTAAGGACAATGACAGTTCATTGATGGGGCCATCTAGCTTGAGGGATGGAAATGCTATGAGCTTATTCATGTTCATTTTCTCACATTATCTTGTTTTTCACAATAAGCCAAGATCTCATTACCAGCTGATTTATACAATTAGTCTGCCTCAGCACTGCCAATTAAACAAGGCCAAGGGTTTTTAAGGTCACGCTTAACTGATCTGTCACTAATTTGCACTACAGCACCTTAGTCTCCCTTCACTGGGGCAAATAAGCCACCAACAACAAGACCAGATAAATGTACCGACTACCACTGCATTGTTGTCAGAGCACAGCACGGAGTCTGCTGCGTGGGAGGCTGGAGGGCGAACAGAATGAGCCAGATAAAGGCAAGAGTTGCAGACGGGTCTGAATGTGGTAGCCTTGAGGCTGGAGGTGACAATGGGGGAGAGGGGACCCAGGTGACCCCAGCTGAATGGAAAGCTGTTACATGAATAGCACCTCTGAGTTTAAAATCTACTCCTGCCTCTTAAATGACGCTAAACACAGACTATTTCACTGTTCTGAACTATGCTCCAGCTGCAACCACCCACTCTTGTATTCACACACACATACACACACGATTAACTTATATTAGTAGCTATTCAGTCTACACAATAATCCTTGCCTGCTGGATAAACCACATATTACATGGATCGTAATTCAATAAACCAGTCTTTGTCAAACATCTGACTATAGGCTTAATTCCTGTTGTGCCTACATAAATGAGAGCTCTTATAATTACAGAGAGTAGATATTAACAAACCTTTGAATTCATAATCTGATGTTGATTGAGAACAATAAATGAATTTATTATAAATAATAAATGGGAACTGTATTCCTTATTCACTGGTTATTTAAGTTAATTATTTGTCTGAGGGGGGAAAAAAAAGAATTTATAATTGCAAATAATGAGCGACCCCAAATTATATTATAATGAAGCAAATGTAGTAATCCCTGTGGTGTAATAAGAGTCAGTGTCAACCGGCCTATTGTAGCTGCATGCTGCAGATCTTTTCCTGCTGTGAATTAGACCTACAGGCAGGAAACATAAAACAGGCACTCCCCATTCCCAATTAGAGGATTGGGAACTTATTAAACACAATTCCAGTCAACCCCAAATTCAAATTATTAGTTTCACCACATTTTATAAATAAATTGTCAACACACTTAAGCAATATTCAGTATACCCATTATTATTATTATTATTATTATTATTTATTATTATTATTATTATTATTATTAATTACAGACAGTAACTGTTAGGGTGAGAGGAAGAGATGCCAAGTAAATTCTGTCCCATTAGGCCACAAGTGAACAGTCAGAATGAGGCACAAAGACTTATTTCTGCTAAAATAATTTCACTACACTGAGCATACTGGAGGTTTAGCTCTCACATACAAAATCCAAACAGACTGATGGAGCTGACATCAAAGGAGCAGGGACAGAGAGCTCACATCCACCTGTGGCATTTCTGTCAAAGAGTGGCCTTTTCTTTAGCTTTGGCTAGCCATAGCTAGCTCACACACACACACACACACACACACACACACACACACACACACACACACACACACACACCCTCAACAGACACGAAAGAAATACATGAAAATGCAAAAGTGCAAACACACTCAAGTTTCCACAAAAGCTTTCATATGCAGTGAAGCAGAGTTGAAAATTATAGCATCATTTCCAACACTGAAATTTGTCAGGGTACACACACACACACACACACATACACACACACACACACACACACAGAGGCCTTAAATTTGGTATAGTTCAGATACGCACTTAACAGACATATATGCAGTTTGTCTGGGCACAACACTAAATTCAAATTCCACATTTCTGCAGTGGCACAGCGGGTGAAATATATGGTTAAATCATTCACTCGTACTAAACCCTCCCACGTAGAAGCTTCTCATGTATCTTTATATTACACGTCAAACAGGCTGTATGCCTGCTGGAATTGCCACTTGAGCTAAAGCCTCCTGTACAGTACGTGAAGGAAAGCAGTTTTACCCCCACAGCACAGAAAGATTCACTTTCACATCAACTGAACCTTCAAATTCCACATGTGTTCGTATACGGTGTGGGCTACGCTTGATTTAATTTTCCTTGACCATAACAAAGAGTTGTGTTTTTCAACCATCATGTGACAGTGGCTCAGTATCATCACCACAACTGTATACAGCACAGAGGAGACCAACCACAACATAGCTGTCCTGACCAAATTCAGGTTTTATGTTTCATGTACTTTAACATTGCCTTTCTACTACTGCTGTATGTGGGACGTATGTGGGTGTCTGTATGTTTATGTGTCTGCTGCATACGCATGTGCATGTATGCATACGTACAATTCACCTTGTGGTAGTTGTGTGTGGATATGCATGAGGCAAGCCAAAACTTGTACTTCAACTTCTGTTTGGAATTCATCCAGATCTGCAACATGTTTAAAAAAAAATAAAAAATCCTCCCAATCCTCCGTTCCAAATCCTCACTCTCTCCTGCGTCCAAACAAGCTAAAGTAGGAATTCTGCCGAGTTAGTTATTTTGACAATAGAGGTAATCTATGCCATCAGCAGACTGCTCCCTACCTGGATGCAGTGTGGTTATCTCTGCAGAAGCAGCAGCCACACAGTCAGTCAGGCCGCGGACTGCATGGGGGAGTTTGGGGATGTAACGAGGTGGGGCTATAACACTGGTCCCAGGGGAAATAGGGAAATGGGAGGAAGAGGAAGGTGGGGGTGCAGTGTGGAGGGCAAACGGGTGAAGCGCAGAACATTGTAGCCACAGAAATGTCTTATACAGTGATTGAACACACGTGATTGTCTGTTAAATATCCAGTTCCATAAAGTCAATCCTCTCTGCAGTAGCATCATCTGTGAAACACGAAACGACAGCTTCCATGCAGTGAGTAATAACCATAACTGGGAATGAGAGGACATTGCTGGTCAGGAAACAGCTAGAGTTCAGGTAAACTGTGGACACTTTGGCATAGATCATTTTATAGAAGCAGCATTTGTGGAGTCATTGTCATCTCATAAATTTATTCACTTCCTACTTTGGACATCTATGGACAAATAAATAAAAAGTCCAGTACTGTGTAGTTAAAAAGACAAGCTGTATTTCTACAAGAGATCCACCATATCTTTGAGTTATTTGGTGTCGGAAACAGGTCAATCACGTGCAAACAGCTGTTTCATGCTCCAGCACACCGTTAACTGTCACAGCCAGACAAATCTCTCTTTTCTTTTCATCTTTACCCTCTGTCTCTCTCAAACTGCCTTTTTCTATCTCCGGCCCTGTCCTGCCACTGAACTACAGCAGACTAGACATTCACAAAATGTCTAGCACCAAAGTGTCAGGAATGACTACTGTAGTGTCACTCTGGTTAAAATATCTTTGTTCAGATTAAAACAGTGGCCAGTATTTCTGGCAGAGCTGAAGAGCAATAGTGTCGAGCAGGAAAAAAAAAAAAAATTCTACCCAGTTTGTTACGAGCAATACCCTGATACAGATACAGTGCTGTGGCTGCAGGAGGCTTTCATGTGCTACTCAGCAAACACATTATCTGTCATTTCCTTTGCGTCAAGTAACAAGAATAAAAGTCTATTTACTGAGCAACTGGGTTTAGGCAGGGTGAAGGGAGAGAAACGACCGGCAAATAGAATGTTTTCCTCCACGGTGGACGGCATTCAGTCCCCAGTGCTCCTAACAGGCGGGTGTGCAACCTATCAATTCTCTTTGATTCCCTCTCATATATTCTTCACTTCAAAGACTGTAAAGACAGAGAACATAAAATAGGCTTGTCTTTTTGCACACTGATGAGACCTCTTTTCTTAACTTCCAAGATATGCATTCATATTTTCCTTCCTTCCTTTCTTTCTCTCTTTCTTATTCAGTGTGGGGTTTGTGTTTTTTGTGTATGTTGGGGGTCTCTCTCAGGTAATGTGTTTATTTTCCCGGACCCATCTTCTAGTTTACTGCGTGGTGGCGTTTCTCCCCTCTTATCGCCTGACCCTCGCGGGGCACTTTAGCCCCTCAAATCCTGTTCACCATATACTCGTTTTAGAATCTGTGAAATGAGTGCTAGAGAAGCGTGGCCACAATGTCTGCCTGTGTTGCTACTGGACTCAAATGGGCTTGGTGCTTTTTTGTCCAGGGAGATGCATAAATGGAAGTTTTTAACACCTCAAAGGAGGCTGGGCCTTTGTGGAGCCACACTAGAGAAGCCTGCCAGTCTCCCGAGGAGGCAGACACACTGAGTGCTGCAGGACAAAGAGCTTAGAGGA